GCGGAGAAGCAGTCCTTGAGCTTCCATAGCAGGGTTGAAGCCTCTGTTTCGGTGTGAGCGAGCCATGGGAAGGATCTAGCGCCACATGTTGATCTCTCCTTTCCCAGTCCTTCCATCATACGAACCACAGGAGTCTTTCACCATACTTGCATCTATCTCTCTTCTCTCTCATGCTTTCCCAAAGAAACGAAAGTTAAAAAAAAGTTTACTACAGTCATGCTGAATAATTCCCGTATGCGACGTTGACACCGTGGTTAAAGTTCGTACCAACTCATTTATGATGACACAGATCGCAGGTGACTAACCGTGAGCCTGACAGTACAGCTTCAAAACATTACAGATAAATAAAAGGGTCATCTCCAACCCCAAACCTTTACAAATTCGACGTTTTTAACAGTTCCTCTTAGGCTAATGTCAGAAGCGAAGCAGTATGTAAACTAACCGATAAGATGATAACTTAGCTCGAGCTAGCTAACGTTACTTTCATTTAATTTACTCATTGGCTACGTCGGAACTGGCCTGCTAAGCCAACTAGTCTCACTACCGAAATCTAGCCATTAAAATAGAAACTTAATGGCTTGTCTTTAGCTATTTAAGCTAACAACTGGGTATTAATGTTTAGCTTGTTTGAGCGCACCTGCACATAGTTGCTCCCACAAGCTATCCTTCGAGATCCTTACGAGAGAATTGATACTGTTCGGTAACAGCGAGGTAATGCCAAACAAGCTGATTATTTACCTGAGAAGCTCGCGTCTTCTACATCTTCCTCAAAGGACCATTCCCTATCTATCTCCCTAGAAACGCGCACCTTTTTGTAACCTACTTCTGCCGGAAAGCAATTACTGCTGTCGTAAAATGCGTTCCTATTGTCTGAATCTAGCCGTTTCTCAATACTCAAGTACGCAAATCCGTACTGGCGTTCGTGCGAGTCCGTACTTCGTAAATTCACGCGGGAATCTGGACTTCCCGAGAACATCCTTGATCATCTCAGCACCAGTTTTTACTGCCACCCCCTCTTAATTTAACTGCGATTAATATGTGCAATGGAAATTAGACATAGTATAAAAAAGGTAAACATGATGTAGTAGATTTCAGATAGTATAGAAAGATAATTTTAAACAAAAGTATTTTAAGCACTTTGGCAAAATTCACTTTTACATATGATTGTTTCATAATGTCTAATAAGGCACGATGGTAACAAACAGGTCTCATGTTAGAATGCTTTTATTATTATTTTAGTAGACACTCAAAACTTACAATAGGCTAATGGGGTTTGGAAGACAATTGAACAAATATTTAAAACATAATTTGATCATCTCTGGAGCATATTAATATGCTGTTTCCACTCCCAGTGAAAATGTTTCCTCCTCAATTAAAAATATTTTTAATGTTTAATTCAGAGTCTGCAAAGTAAGAACGGCACATTTCCCATCAGGGGATATGACAGGTGAAATATTCAGTTCAAAATATAAACTGTAAGTT